TTAAAAAATAACAACCTTTTATATTAAAATTAAGAATTAATAAATAATAATTATATTAATTATATATAAATTTAAGAATATTTTTAAAGAAAGAAAATTTAATTTTAAAATATTTAGATATTAAATATTTAAAAATTATAATAATTATATTGTTCTAGTATGTACAAATTTAATTATAATAACTTAAATTATATATTCAATTGTTTAATAAATTAATTTTATAACTAAATATTTTTATAATATAATTATATTTTTTTGTTTAAAGTTGATTTACTAATATTTTTTTTTTTTTTTAAATATTTCCATTTACAATTATTTAAGCAAATCTTTATAATTATTAATTTATTCAAAGAAAAAAAATATTAATATTTTTAGGCTTTATCATTGATTTACATCTGTGCATTTATTATCAAAATATCTATTAAGTTAGTTGATTTTCTTTATTTTATTTTAAATACCTTTAATATATTTTAAAATATAAATAAATTTAGAAGTTCATATATATTATAATAATTCTTTTAAAATTTATTTTTATAATAATACATTAAGTTTTATTAAATTCGACTTAATTTTAAATACATATTCTCCTTAATTATGTATTTAAGACGAAAATATCTTCATCCTCTTATTTTAGCTTTCTATTTTAATAAATTACATAATTTTAGACTTATTCTTTTGATTAGTTATCTTTTTTAATTCTTTTAATCGCTTCTTTGATTTCGTTTATGGTTTTTTAACCTTTTTCAATTTTTTATTTATATTTTGTTTCGAAATCAATTTATTTTTCTTATTTATTTCTATCTTCTATTTCTTATCTGATTTCAAACCTTATTAATCTTTCTAAATGAATTTGTCTCAACTATTCTTTATATTCATTTATTAACTAAATTTTTATTTATTAATAAATTGTATAATATTTTTCATTAATTTAATATTTTATATAAAAATTAAATTACTAATTATTTCTTTTCAAATGATTTAAAATCTATTTCACTTTAAATATTTTATTTAATTTTTGCTTAACTAAGCCTATTGGTAACTTCTTCAACTTTTTCTTTATTTTTTATTACTACGTTTTTATTATATTATCTTTATTTTTAATTAAAATATAAAACTATAAATAATAAATAAAAACAAAACATAGGACATTATTGAAATCCGGCAAAGCTATCCCATATTTAAGAGTTAAGAAATTAATATCTTTCTCTATGTTTATCTTTCACAATAAAATATTTAGGATCTTCTCCAATCTAAATAAAAAAATAAAGAATTTATATTATTAAATAATAATAACATTTTTTTAATTTTTAAATAAATTTAAAAACTTATTAACTTCTAATAATTCTTCACTTGTTAAAATTTTGCTTATTTTTTTAATGCATTCATTGTTTCAATATCCTCATTTATATATTAAATGTCAAATTTTTCTCCTTTAGGGTCTAAATTTGTATTGTTAGTTTTACTTAAGCCTGGATAAATATCAAATTGTTTATATTTTGTAAATACAAAAGGTTTTTTTTAAAAATCTTTTTAATTGCATTTTTCTTTATATGCTCTAGATTTATATTTAATACCATTTTCTAATAAATTTTTTGTTTTTGATTAAAATTCAAATAATTTATTGCATCTTATGTTTATATTTTAATCGATTAATCTTATTAATTTTGCTCTTAATGTTCTTTTTTTCAACCTTTATTTTTAAAATATTTTTTAGACATTTTATTTTTATTAAATTATAACTATTTTTTTTTTTAATTATTTAACCTTTAAAATGCTTAATTTCTTTATTTAAAAGTTTTTAAATAATTTAAGTTTACGGCTGAATTGACAGAATAATTATAATTTATTTTTTAATTATGGTCAATTTCACTTTATTATGTTTGTTAATTATTTTAATCCATTTTTATTTAATATTATTTAAAAATAAAATAATGTAAATTTATTTATTTTAACTTATAAAAATATAACACTGTTTATATTTTATTTTATATATTATAATTAACTTTAGTATTATACTTGACTTTTAAATTAATTTAAATTATTTCTCAAAACAATGTTAACTTATTATGATAATAATTTAAAAATTTTATTCAATGAACATTTTATTGAAGGCTAAATTAATTTAAAATTATTGGCTTAAAAAGATTTTTATTCCTTTTTATTTTTATATTAATAATTTTATATTCTATGTTTTTCTTAAATTATAAATTAGTCTTTTATTTTTTAAAAAAATATATATATATATATATCTATTTATAAAATCTATTTATAAAATCAATAATTATCTTAATTTTCATTATTATTTATTTTCTTTCTATATTAACATTTAATAAAAATATAATATTGTAGTAATATTATATCTACAACAAGTTAAATATATCTATAATTAATTTCATTTTATTATTTTACTAAATAAAATAATAAATTTAAAATATTATTATTGTAAAAGTTAAATAAAAAACAAAACAATTCTTATAAAAAAATGAGTAAAATAATATAAAAAAGGAATAGCTTATTAAATTATTAATTTGAAAATTAATAAAACTAATTAAATATTGAAAATATATTGGAAAAAATCGAAAAAATATTAAACTGTTAAATATATTATTGTTAATATAAAAATCCTAAGAACTATAATTGTGATAAAGAACATAATAGTAATATGGAATTTATAATAAAATATATGAAAAAAAACTAGCATTCTATATAAATTTTATGTTTTTCTTTTTATAAAAATCACAGTTATTTGATTAGATTATTTAGATAATTTCATCCTTAAATAGGAAAAGGAATGTATATATACGAATTATTCATAGAAATTTAATAAACAACACAAACAGCTATTTAAAATGCAATTTAAACATATAAAATATTAGATTAGTTGATTTCTTGTTTTTAAGAATCAAAATTTCCTTTAAAAAATATATATATAATTTATTGTATTATAGTAAATAATTTTCCTTTATTTAAAAATTCTAATATGGTTGATGAAAACTAATTATTATAATAATGTAAATATACAAGAAATAGCTTATAAGAGAATTTTTAAAAACTATAAGAAAAATATAATGAATAATTAATTTTATAATTTAATGTTTAAATAGAATTTTAAAAATTAGAATAAAATCAAATAAATAACTTTATAGATTTTATGTATTAGTTTTAAATATATTACTAAATTTAGTACAAATTCGACACTATCTGTATGCAAAAATCTTATTTTTTATAATAAAATATAATTTAATAAAACATAGAACTTTTTAATTTTATTTTTAAATTAAGTAAAAACTATATAATATAATTTATTGCTTTTTAGAAATTTTGTGGATAATTTCAAGTCTATAATCCTTTATTAATATACTCAGATTTACTTTTTGATTGATTAATAAGTTAATAAATAAATTTAATTAATATCTATTTTATTTTTTATGTTAAAAAGAATTAATAGTAATTATATTTACGTAAATTAATAAATTATATATAAAAAAATATAATAATATAAAAAATATATTTATAAAATATATAAATATATAATATACATAGAAAAATATTTATAATTATTAAAATATCTTTATTTTATTTATTTATATCTATAAATCTATATATATTCTAATACTTTAATTATATATTAAAAATTTTGTCTAAAATAATTAAAAAAGGTTAAATTATAAATTAAAAGTAAAATTAAAAAAGAAATAAGAAAATATTAACAAGTCATTAAAAATAAATATAAAATATATAAAATAAATAATTTATACAATAAATAAAATAAATATTTAATACATAAAATATACATAAAAATTTTTATGTTTTAATAATATTATATTTATAATTTTGTTAATATATTTATTAATTATATAAATAATATAATTTTTATAAATATATGTTTTACAGTTTGATCATTATAAAGTTTCTAGTTCACTTTATAATATATTTATATAGTTTAAACAACTTAATTCGTTATTCTTATTTACAAAGTATTCATCTTTACATAAAGGATTTTAAGCTCTTTCTGGTATAAAAAATAAAGAGCTATTATTATTTTCTAAATTATCTTAAAACTCGATTCCATTATATAAATAAGATCCGATTTCATCGTCAAAAGTACTATAATTAAGATTTTTATCACTACTATGCAAGCTATCATTATTATTTTAAAAAAGTACACTTTTGTGTTTATGTTTAAGCTTTTTATTTAAGAAATATTAATTATTTGTTATTTCTTACAATACATTATTTTATCTATTTTTATTTTGTTTTTTTTCAGTTAGAAATTGATTTTTATTATTATTAAGCTTTTAAAATAAAAGAAAGTTACCATTACTTGTTAAATTATTACTATTATCAATTGATATTTATGAATAATTACTCATATTGGAAACTGTATTATTAAGTTATGGTAGAATTTACTTTTAGCAACAATAATCTATTATTTTTATTGGAGTTGGAGAAAAAAGAGTTTTTTTAGATTATTCAGTTATGTTATTAATCATTTATGTAAAGATTTTTTTATAAAAATTTATAAAGTTTTTAATAAAATTATTATTATTATTATTATTTTAAATTACTAATTTGTATTTATTATATCTTTTCTGATTTTTTTGAAGATACTTGAATTCCGAATATAATGTTAATTATTATTTTAATAGTATATTTTATTCTTGTTTAATGGATGTTTATTCTTTTTTTAAATTTTTATAACAATATTTTTTTTTTATTTTTGTTTCAATATATATTATTATTATTTTTTTCTTATGATTTTTTTATATTTATATTTTTTTAAAAAAAAATTATTATTTATTGTATAAGTTTAAATCTTTTTTATAAAATATAATATATATATATATATTATAAATTACAAAGATTATACATGTTTATTATTTATATTAAATAAATATAATAATATATCATTTTATTATATATATTTTTTTAAAAAAATATTAAAAAATACTTTTTTTAAAAAATTAATTTAAATTATATATACTTTTAAATAAAAAAAAATGAAAAAGTGGGAAGAATAATAAAAAAATAAAATATATTAATAAAAAATAAAAAATGCGAAACCTGCACTTTTAAGTATAAATAAATCAGGAAAATTAAATAAATCTTTAAATGATTCAAAACACATTTCTTAGTTAAGAAGCCCTAATAATATTTATTATTAAGAAAAATAAATATCAATAAATGATTATTATTATAATGAAAAATAAAATATTTTATAAATTCCATTATATAAATTACTAAAAATGTTTAATTTATAATAATACGCAAAGGAATTAATAACTAGAGGATTTGGATATGATTTAACTAAATTTAGAAATTTAACATAAAATTAAATAGAAACGCTATTCACAGATATAAAAGTATATTATAATTTTATTAAAAAAAATAAAATAAAAGGTACTTCCAGGTCATAATACAAAACTGAATAATCTTTTAATATATATAAATGAAATAACACCAATAGTAGAATAAAATGACTTTTAACACTTTAAATCAGGTACAAATAACACAAATAAATAGAGATAAGATGAAAGAAAAAAAAGTATTACGAAAATAAATTCATAAAAAAATATGCTTATTAAAACTTAAACTAAGTTAATAAAAAAGAAATCTTCATAATAATTTTCCTAAAATTTAATATGTAAAAATACATAAATAAATAAATAAAATAAACTTTAACATATTGGATTTGATTATTTTGTTGATGAAAATAATGATAGCTATAATGAATTTAAATAAACTCTTGAAAATTTATTAAATAAATATACAATTAACAATGATGGTCTTATTAAAGAAGAAAAATCTAATAATGTTTTACTATTTATTTATTAAAATTATTTTTTATTTTATTTATTTTTAAGACTAATTAAAATATAAACTTTAATCTAAGTTAAAATATAAATTATGCAAAAAGTGATTAGACCAAAGTCTAATTATAAAAAGCAATGAAGATTATTAATAAAGAATAATCTCATAATATAACAACAAATAATACATAAGTTACTTAAAAAACAAAAAATAATGCAAATAATTTTCAAACAGTTTAATAAAAATAAAGATTATCAATAAGTTATTTAATAATATAATATATAATATTTTTATCAATCTCATTAAATAATAAAGATAAAATAAATGACGAAGATATTTAGAAAAAAAATACTTAACCAAAGCAATTATCTTTAAATAATATAAATTAAAAAAAAGTTTAGGATAAAAATGAAGGTTTAAGTAGAAATAAACAAATTAATTAAATAAATATTTATTTTTATTTTGAATAGAACAGGCTAATAATGCTAATAATAAAACATTAAAAAAGAAAGATTAAACAAATGTTAAAGATATTAATTAAAGAAGAGTATATGATGATTTATATTTAATATCGTAATATGATGAAAATAATAATTTAGTTCTAAAAAATAAAGAAAATAGATTGATAAAAAATTTATAAAAATAATAAAGTACTATTTAAGTAATTTTTTTTTTTTTAAAAAAAAAATAATCTTAAAAAAAGTAAAATAATTAAAATGAATCAAACCCACAATTAGAATACGAATAAATAAAACATATGTACGTTTCATATGAAGGAGGTAAACTAACATCAACATTAATAAATTTAGATATAGAAGAATTATGTTATTGTTTAAGTTGTATAATATTAAAATATATTTAATAAGGTGAAACTATGAAAAAATAATAAGAATCATATATAGAATAATAATCTTAATTTTACAACTAACATTAATATAAAAAAGAGATTTCCTTAAATAAAACAGTAAATATGATAGAAGAGCCAACACTTATATAAGTAAAAAAAAAAAAAAAAAAGTATTTAAAAATAAAAAAATTATTTACAAAAATTGAAAGGAATAAATTCAATAAATAATAGAAACAGAAGAATATTTTAAAGAAGATTAAAATTAGAGTCTTAATTAAAATCAGGATTTAATAAAAAATGGAGAATATGGTTGGAAAGCATGCAAAGACAATACATATTTAGAATTAAAATTACAATAAGAAGATGATTTAAACTAAGTGTCTAGTAGAAAATATTTCGAATAAAGTCGAAAAAAAATCGAATTAATACTCAAGGAGTCATTTTTGATAAAATGGAGTGAAAAAAACGAATAATATTAAAAAGATAGAAACGAGAAAATATAAGAGGATACTAATGATAATTATAGCGAAAAAGAATATAAAGAAGAACAAGATGATGAAGAAGTAGATCTTGATAATCTTGAAAAAACAAATAAATTATAAGAAGATTAATATTTTAATGAATACTAAAAAGAAATAGAAAATGAGGATTAAAAAAATTAAAATGAAGAATAATTTAATTAAAATAATTTATCTGATTACGCAAACGAAAATTATTAAGAAGTCTAAAGTGAAGGTGAAATAGACGCAAACACAACTTAATAATAAAAGGATGAGGATGAGGAAGAAGAAAATGATTAAAACTCAAATAATAATAAAAATAATAATATGAGTAGTTTAAAATTTTCAGTAATGTCTCGATATTCAATAGTAATCCCAGATAATGAATAATTTAATAGAAAATTATTCAATAAAACTTTTGATATAGATCCTAATACAGACCCTATTTTATAATAAATTCCGTAATTAGAAACTATATAAAGCTTTTGTAAAAATATATTGATTTCATGCAAAATGGAAAAAGAAATTCCTATTATTACTCTAGTTTATATTGAAAAATTAATAATAAAAAGTGGTTTTTTTTAAATGCGAAAAATTGGAGAAAAATACTTATTACAGCTATGATTTTGGCTTCTAAAATTTGGGATGATGAGTCTTTTGAAAATGGTAATTTCGCAAATGCTTTTCCTTAATTTAGTGTTGTATAATTTAATGAAATGGAAAGGGTTTTTGTCAATTTTATTGATTATAATTTGTATATTAAAGGAGGTGAATATGCTAAGTATTATTTCATTTTAAGAACCTTTGCTAAAAAAATAAAAAGTCTTTTCCTCTTAAACCATTGGATATTTAGACTATACTTTATCTTTAAAATAATTCGAATAAGGCTTAGTGTAATCTAAAAGAATTATATAATAATGCTATTAATAAAAGTTTTTGATTATATTATTTTAAATAAATAAATTATATTCATTTTTTGTTTTAATAAATATTGTATTGTTTTATTTTTTTGATTTAAAAATATTATTTTAGATTAAAAATAAATGATATAAATTTATTAAAATAATATATATATTTTATTTTATATTATATCTATTTTTTTAAAATACAAATTTAATAATTATTTATAATCTTTTTTTTATTTAATTATAATATTAAATTAAATCATATTATCACAAATTCACAAAAAATAATATTTTTTATTTAATTTTTTTCTAATAAATCAAATTTAATGTATTAATAATTAATATATTATATAATATTTTTGTATATATTATTTAAATCTACATTTATATCTTACTTGTTCTTCTTTATCATTTTTTAAAATAATGTTTAAGCTATCATTTTAATTTAAGAAATTAAAGGTTCAAGTCCTTATATATTTTAGTATATTTTTTAAGCTAAAAAATATTTCACTCGGCTTAATAAAAACGAGTAATAAAGCTTTGTAAATTTTGCAAGCTTTTATTAGAAATTCCATCAATTTTAATCTTTTTAAAAATTTATTTTAGTCAAAAATCTAAATCAGTTAATAATAAGAGTTTATTTTGCTTCCTTTTCTAGTTTATTTATATCTTGTAAGTTAATATTTACTATTTTAATATTATTATAATATGTTATTAGTTATTTGATTAATAATTTTCCATATTTAATATATTAATAAAAAAAAAAAAAAATTATCTTAAATTTAATTTTTAAAAATATCTTTTTTAAAAAAATAAAATATTAATCTATTTAATTAATTTATTTTATAAAATAATTTTTTTTTTTGATTAAATTACAATAATTAAGTTATGATTAAGTTTAATTTCATATAAAAAAAATTAAATAATTTAATTTTAGATAAAAAATATAAAATATTATAAAAACCAAAATTTATGACAATAATTTTGTTATTTAAATAAATATATGAAAATAATAATATTTAAAAAAATAAGATTTTTAAAAAGAATATACTTAAAAAATGATTTTATTATTAAAACATTTTTTTAAATTAATTATTAAATAAATAAATATTTATGATATTTATTTTAAATTTTTTTGTCAATATTTTAATAAATTAATAAACAGAATTTTTTCAAAAAGTAGTTTATATATAAAATATAATTTTATATTTTTAAAAGATTATTACAAAACAAAATATAAAAAAAAGCTTTTCAATAATATGTAGAAAATTATATATTTATTACAAATATATATCTAAGTAATATTATTTGGAATTTTATTTATATATTTATTATTTTTTTTAATTTTTATATATTTTTTCAATATTATTTTTTTCTTCGTTATCATCTTTATTATTATAGTAAATTAAATTCAAAGTAGTTATAATTAAATATCCTATTAATACACCTTATCTTGCTTTTCTCGAATATTAGAAACAAAATATTATTAAAATACCAAACATATTCAATAATATTCCAATAATTAACCCAAAAATAAAATCACATTTATTACCTTCATTTATATTCGATTGCCAAGATTATTGATTAACTAATTATTATTACAATATGTTATCTTATTAGTTTTAAACTTAATTTTCTATATCTAGTCTTTATTATTATTGTTATATTTATTGTTAACTTTTATCTTATTCCGAAAATTATACATGTATAATAATTGGATTACAAATAATTTTTATGTCTTGTAAAATTGTATTTTCTTATAATATTTAACCATTATATATAAATCTAATTTTTTATCCTTGTTAAAATTCTTGTGGAAAAGCTGTTTTTTTAATTCTTAAATGGTTTATTATTTTAATTGTTAATCCATATTTAATTATATTTATTGCCCATTTAATTTTTGAATAATTAATTTTTATTCATTGTTTAATTCCTCTTTTTCCTGCTTTTATTCAACTTAGATTTTTATATCGATTTGATCTTGTAATTCTGGTTCTTCCAGAAGTAATTAGTGTTTGGGAAGATCTTTAGTTTGATTCATTTAATTATTTAAATATTTTATTACTAATATTATTATTATTTTTTTATAAAAAAATTAATATATATTTTATTATTAATATTTTTTTTAAAAAAATTTATATGAAAGAAATAAAATAGATTAATTTTATATTCATAATATAGATAAGTTATTAATATTAATTTATTAAAATTTGATTATGTTTTATTTTTTAACAGAAAATTAATAAAGGCAATTAATTTTTATAGTAAAAATTATTAAATTATTTCATCTAATTTATATATTTGCTTAAAAAAAAAAAACTAATTATTTTTAAAGACTTAATTACAAAATATAAAAAAGAAAATTTAATTATATTAATATTCTTATAAAAATAACCTTTTTATCTATTTATATATTATATTTACTTAAAAAAAAAAATTAAATTTAATAAACTGATAACTATTTTTTTTTAAAAAAAATCAATATTATCATTTTGTTTTAATATATATATTTTTTAAAAGAAATATATAACTAAATATAAAAAATAAAATCTAATAAGCATGATAATAGATCCTTTTGATTAGAGAAAATTATCATAACGTTACATATTATAGAATGATTAAAATTAATTTTATGAATTAAATTTACTTAATTAAAGGCAAAAAACATCAATGAATTGTAATTAAAAAACTTTTCTTTTATTTAAATATATTATTATATTTATAAATTATATAAAATTAACATTATTTAATAATCAGAGCATTCTAATAATAAATAATTTATTACTAGCAATAAAAAGCCATTTTATAAAAACTAAAAATTCTTTCTAAAAAATTAACTAAACAACATATCAATGTAAAATGATTTTAAACTTTAAAAAAAGTACATATATATTCCGTCTAAATAATAGTTTTAGGAAAAGCAATTATTTAAATAAATTTAAATAAAGAAATATTGTAAAAAATAATAATAAATATTTAAAATTTAATAATTTTTTTTGTTTTTTTTTTTTAAAAAAAAAAGATTTAAACTTTCCATCATAAAATAAATAACCTAATAAAAATAATAATACATAATTTCTTAATTAAAGTAGATAAAAAATATAAACAGAACTATCCTCAAATACATAATATACAGCAAGAACAAAAAAATATATTAAATACAAAAAAATTTTGGTTCTAATTTAAACAGTCCTATTTAGAAAAACAAACAAATAACATTTTTAAAATCAAAGAATAATTATACTTAATAAAAATCTTAACCAACGACTGGATTCTCATAAGAGAATGAAATTTTAATTTAAAATTCTAACAATAATAAGATAATTAATTTTAATTTAAATCGAAATTTAAACTAAAATAGAAATCAAAAAAGATATTTTGTATCTAATAATGTCTCTCCGGAACAAAAATTATTTCATCAATAATTGAGTAGACCTCGAAGTACTTCAAATAATAATAAATATATAGGATTTTAATTAAATAGAACTCAGGCCAATTATCCTATAAGATTAAAAGATTTACTTGAAAAAAATATAGAGTGTAATATTTAAGGCAATAAAGAAATAAAAATTTTAAGGGAAATAGATTAAATAATAAAAAAAATTTAGCGAAAAAATATTCAAAAAAAATATGAAAATAAATAAGATACATCAAATTCAAACATTACGTATATAGAATAAAAATAAAAATAATAAGATTAACAAATAGTATTTAATTCGAATTAAAATTCTCCATAAAATATAAGTAGTAGAATATTTAAAGATATTTAAAATAAATAAAATAAAAATAATATTAAATTAAGGTAATTTAATTAATAATAAAAGTTTGTTAAAAGAGATTTCTAAACTTATAGATATATTAATGATAATAAAATTAATAAATAAACTTATATAAAAAATGTATCTCCATAATTATACTATAGAAGTTAAATATATTAATAATAATAACCATAAAATCTATAAATTTAAACTTATATATAATAATAAAATCAATAACAAAAAAATAATTAATAAATCAAACCTCATTAAGTTTAAGAATATAAAAAAATGTCTTCCAATAATCTTAAAAATTATTAAATTCCTTAACAAAAAATTAATTCTTCTCTAACATAAATCCCCTCACCTAATATTAATTTAGAGAATTACTAATTATGCTCTTAAATAGGCTCAGGTTCTTACGCAGTTGTAAAACTAGCAATAAATAAATTAACAAATTAAAAAGTTGCAATAAAAATTTACGAAAAAGAGAAACTATGTGATCCTCATAAAATGAAAAACGTAAAAAGAGAAATCGATATCCTTAATCATACATCTCATCCTAATATAATAAAGCTTATTAAGGTTATTGATGCACCTACAACAGTTATTTTTATTTTATAATAAAAAAAAGTAAAATTAATTAAAAAAATATATATATAGTTAAATCTAGTTTTAGAATATATTGGAAATAGTTCATTATATAATTATTTGAAATAAAAACCTAATAGAAGATTATAAGAATCTGATGCGAGGAAAATTTTTATTTAAGTTATCGAAGGAATTAAATATTTGCATAATAAAAATATAATACATCGAGATATTAAACTTGAAAACTTACTTATTGATGAAGATTAAAATGTTAAAATTATTGATTTTGGATTCGCTGTTTGTATTACTTCTGATAGAAAGCTAACTTCTTTTTGTGGAACTCCGTCTTATATGGCACCTGAAATTGTTTCTAAAACGGATTATTATGGACCGCCAGTTGATATTTGGACATGTGGCGTACTTTTGTTTGTTTTGTTTTGTGGAGCTTTTCCTTTTAAAGGTATAATTTTTTTATAATTTTTTATTATAATGATATAATTTTGAGGTATTGATGAAAGCGATTTATATAAAAAAATTAAAGAATGTGAACTTGAAATTCCTTCATATGTTCCAAACGGAGTTAAAAGTTTAATAAGTTTAATACTAAAAAAAAACCCTTAAGATAGGCTAACAATTGATTAAGTAAAAATTTTAAAATATATAATATATTAAATATGTATTTTTCATAATATTATTATTAATTATATTATTTTAAAATAAAGATATTAAATGATCCATGGGTTTAATATGAAAATAAATTTTATTTATAAAAATATTTTAATTAAAAAGAAACTATTTCAATTTAAAATTCAAAAAAAATATAAAACTGAAATGTAGTTTAATAATATAAATATATATATATATATATATATATATATATATATATATATATATATATAATTTAATATATATTTATTAATTTAATTTACATTTTTATTAAAAATATTTTAATAAACTTTACATATTTTTTAAAAAAATAATAAAATTTATAATTAATTTTTTTTTTATTAATTTATTTTTATATATAATATGTTAATATAGTTTTCTATTTGATGATGATATTTTAATATTTCATGCTTTTTTCGCTAATTGATCTTCTTTTTTTGGTGGTGGGTCAAATATAGAAATATCTAATTAATCTGGTTTAAAAATACTCTTGAGAATACTAATAAAATAAATTTATTCAATTATTAATAGTTTATAAATATAATAATTAACTTAATTGATTTTGTTTTATTTGTTTTAGGTAAATTATAAAGAGCAATTTTTTCAGTTTAGCCTGAAGTTACGTTTGGAAACAAATTATTAGTAACATGATTTACAGAATCAAATATTCTTTAAGTTTCTAATTTAGTTTATTATTGTACTTGCCTTTTTAATATTTATAAAATTATCAAAAAAAGCAATTATATTAGAATATGGTTTTTACGTTTTAGCATTTTTTATTAATTCTTATTATTCTTTCATATTTTGAATATTTTCATAATTTTGTCTTTCTTTTGCCATTAATTTATTTAATTTATATTCATTTGCACGTCTATTTCTTTCATAATTTTATAATTTGTCTTATTCTTTTAATTATCGTATTTCTTATTTTAATTAAATTCTTTCTTATTCTTATTACTATTATTTATTTTATTTTTTTGAGTTTAAGAATAAAAAACAAAAAAAAAACAAAAAAGTATACATACCTTTAATTTTAAAACATTTTCTTCCATTTTCCTAAACTTTTCTTTCAAATCGTCCATCTTACCATTATATTATGTTTTAACAAAATATTACTTTTATAAAATTGTTTCTTATTTTTACTTTTATTTTTTCTATTATTCTATTTCTTATTATATTTGTTTTTATCTATTTTCTAAAGTTTATAATTTATAAATTAAATATCAAAAAATCTAGAGGGGAAAAAAAAAAAAAATACATTAAAAGTTTTATTCTTTTGTAACTAATTTTTAAATAAATTTTTAAAATGAAAGTTCTTCATTTAAATTTCTTTATTTTTATAATTCTTTTAATTTTATTTTTTGCTTTTCTTATTTTTCTCTTAAATAATTTATTTTTTCTTATAATATTTATCTATTTTTATCTAATGCCTAATTTTATTAAGTGCAAATACTTTCATTTAACATAACTTTTTGTCTGATAAAATCATCTTAAAATTAATTTAATTTTATTTTCATTTCTTATTTTTTTAAAAAAGCTCTTTCTTCATATTCTCTTTACATTCTTTCTTTTTCTTCTTAATACTTTCTTTACTTTTCTTTAACATTTTCTATTTTTTTTTAAATTATTTCTCTTTCTTCTCTTTTTTTTAATTATATTTTTATTCAGCATCTTTTATTTTTCTTAATTTTTCTTATGCTTCTTTTCTTTTATCTTCCTTTTCTTTTTCTTTTTGTTTTTTAAGTTTTATCGCTTATTCTAAAACTCTTTAATTTTTTTCTGACATTGCTTACACTGTTTAAAGTTTATTAATACTTTTTTCATATAAAATTTTAGCTTCTTTCTAATTTTATAAAAAAAATATATTTCTTAAAAAAATAAAAAAAATATTAACCTGTTTTTGCTCTTTTAATTTATTATATTTTTATATTTCATTCATTAATTATGATTCTAGTTAAGAAATATTCATATCTTCAATACTAATAATTTCATCTACAGGTTTAGTATTTGGAGACTGATGAGTACTTTTTATATACCCAATAGTTTTATTATATACTTATTTCATTTATTTATGATCCCTTTATTTAATATTAAATTATTGTTTTTTATCAAATTTATAATGAAAACATTTTTTTTAATAAATACATTTTATAATCACTATTAATACTAGTATTTTAATTTAAAGATTTACGTGAAAAGTAATTTAGTTCTTAAGCTACTACAGATTACTGTTTATTATTAACTTATTAATTTACAGATTTGCACAATTAAGGGTTTGCTTGAAATTTTAATTTTTATTAACGAATTATTTATTTTCTTTTTTCTTAAATAGCTTTAACGTCGGCTTTATATATTAAAAAATAAAAAATTAATATTATATTTTTATTTAATTTGTATAATATTTAATGCTATTTACTTTGTAATCTTCCCATATAATGATCGTACCTTAATTATTTTATTTCTTCAGAACATCCATCATGACCAAAATCATTTATATTTCTTTTTTTTTTTAATTATAAGGATTAATTGGAATAAAAGCAAAATAATTAAAAAAACAAATATCTATTATTTTTTTAATTTTTTATATAATATTACTTTAATTCAAATTAAGACATTTCTATTCCTAATTCAGTCATTGCATCTTTTGTTCTTGGAGATTCTGGCCGAATAAAAATACCATTTTATATATAGCTACTTAAACTTTATGGAAGAACAAATGTCTATTTTCTTTCACCCATTTAATGTTATTATTATTCTTTTTATAATAATATAAAATGTTTTATTTTATTTATAAATAAAATTATTTATTTTTTAAAATTTATTTTTAGATTATTTTCATTTAATTATTATAATAATTATTAAATATATATACTTTTAATCCCATAATATTTTTTACAAAAATAAAATTAAATAAAACTTATTTTTAAATTGAAAATCAATATTTCTTATTATATAGTTATTAATTTTATAATAAATCAGCTAAATATATATTAAAATGCAATAAGAATTAAATATATAATGTTTAAAAAATTTAGATTATTTTAATCTATCAAAATTAAAAGTTATTTTTTCAATATATAAATAAATATTTTCTTTTCAGATAATAATATTTAAAATATTAAAATAGTTTATTTTAAATTTTTATAAATTTAAGAATTTACAAATTCATATATAAAAATAAACTAAGTTTTTTTACTTTTTTCGTTTTCTAAATTTAAAAAACTTATAAAAAAATTTAATATTATTTATTAGTAATTTATAAAATGAAAAGATTATTAATTTTTTTTTAGTATTTTTTATAATTAATGCAAATGTTAAGTAAAAACAACTTTAGCTTAAAGAAAATATCTTCAATAGTAATAAATATATTTATAAATTTAATATAAAATCATTCTTTTAAATTTTAATTATTTTTAGTTTTAAATACTATAAGCAATTATGATTACAATAATAGAATTTAATAAAATTTGAAAATATTAGCTCATTTAAAACAGTCATAAGAAGATTATGATATTAATTAAGAGCAAGAAAATAACAATAGTTATTAATAATTTTAAAATTAATTATTTATTTTATTATTTATATAATATTAAAATATATAAAAGGTAATGAAAATATAGTTAAAATAAATTAAGATTTAAATATTAAAAAATCAATAATTGTTTAAAATTATGCTAAGTTTGACAAAATTATTTCTTAAGAAAATATGCATGTAGTTCAAATATTAAAACATTATTAAAAATTTCAAATAAAATTAAATAAATATAGATTGCTGAAAATATATATGCAATTTAATAATAAAGTATTTAAACAAAAGCTTAAGATTTATTTATTAAAAATATAAATTCAAATAATAGTGAAGATAATAAAATAATTTTTAGAGGAAATTTAGTAGTAAAAAATTTATATAGTTAAACTTAAAAACTATAAATATAAGAAATTATTATAAATGGTATATCTTATATTTTAAAGCTTAATTTTTATTTAAAAAAAATAATATTTCAAAATAAAAAAATTAGGTCAAAATTAATGGAAAATGATATAACATGAAGATTTTGAAAATAGTGATGAAAATAAAAATAATAAAGATTAAAAAGGATAATGGAGTTTTTTAGAAAAAAATAATTGTGAAAAAATTGGAAAAAATACATTTAATGGCGGTTTTTGTAAAATTTCAAAACAAATGATTACTAAAAAATTTTTTAATTTACCAAATCATTCTTAAGTTAAAATTAGTGGAACTATTCATGCCTTTGATAATTGGGAAGGTGAAAAAATATTAGTTTTTGTTAATGGAAAAAACAGTAAAAACTCATATTTTATAATTAAAAATATACTTTTTTTATAAAAATAAAAAAAGTTTGGAGTAAAAATATCGATAATTCTAGAGGATTCGATATTTGTGGAAACGTCAATAAAGATACAATAAATATGTAATATTTTTTTTTTTTTCCTTATTTTATAAAATAACAATTTTATTTTATTTTTGTAAAATAAAAAGATAATTCAAAAAAATAATTGTTGATAGCTAAAGTGATTTAGAAGTTAGTTTTGCTTCGGAATTATAAAAAGACTCATGTGAAGCAAGTTATGCTATTGATGATATAATAATTAATGTTAGATGATATAATATATTATTTTTTTTATTAAAAAATAAATATATACTCAATATTATATCTCTTATTTTATTTTATAAAAATTAAAAAGTATTTAATATATATAAACTCTTTTTTTTTTCTTTGTTTCGTTTATTGTCCTCATTTTTTTTTATTTTTAATATCGTCTATTCGTTTATATCTTAATGAACGATCAACCGTTTTCCAATTTTTATATAATTTTTAGGCAGTTTCAAATTTTTCAATTTAACTAATTTAGATTACATATATGGATTTTTAATTATCAACAATTCTTATAGTTTTTTAAGGCAAAAACTCATTTAAATAACTACATAACCCTATCGCAATTATATACAAAATTATCCAAAATACTTATGTTTATTATCCAATATGATTATTATATAATACTCCAATAAATATAAAAAGGAAATATACATATTATTATTGAATAAAAGTTAATTTATCTGGATTAGAAACAATCTTAATTTAATCATATGTCTACCAAGAATTTTATATTTCTAATTGTTTTAAATATTTATTTGAATCTTCTAAGCATTTCTTTTAAATTTATTTTTCTTCTTCGATTAATTAGGGTACTGTTTTGTTCATTATTTTTATTATTAAATATTTATAAATTGTTAAATCAATTTTTTGTTTAATCTATTAGTCTTTTTGTTTAAATATCTTTTTTAAAAATTCTAATAAATATATTTTATTGTTATTTTATATATAAATGAAATATTTATAATATAAATTAATATTTTATAATTTCATTTTTTTTATAAATTTTTAATTATTAATAATTTTAAACATAAATAAGTCACTATAGTTTGAATTTTTATTTTTCTCTTTTAACATTTTCTAATAGATATAGTTTTTATTAAATTTTTCCATATTTTCTATCCTAAAAATTATTTTTATTATTATTATAGTTTGAATTTGTTTTATTTGATAGTCTTTCTTAAGAATTGCTTTCTTTTTAATTAATTAAATTCGAATTTTTCTAATTATTTATAAAATTTTAATCTGTAATGTTTTATTTAATTTCTTCTTATATATTATCTTTTATATTGAAAAAAGAAACTTCTTTATATCTTTTTTATTCCATACTATTATTTTAAATAAGCTAATTTAGTTTTTATTTTCCATTTTCATATTCATTTAAACTTATTAAATTATCCTTATTTTAATAATCAGTAATTAATTATTTAAATTAAATATATTATTTTTATAAAGATTCAATTAAAGTATCATATTTTTTTTCTTTTTCTTATAAATATCTTACTAAATCGTTATCAAATTCTGTTTCTTTAATAAAAATACAACCCATTTATTTTAGTAATTTAAATTTTGTTTTTAAATATATTTAATATTATATTAATTAAATAATTTTTGCAAATTTATGCTAAAATAATAACACAAACTAACTAAAAATATACTAAAATGATACAAAATATTTATTTTATTATTAAAAATAAGAAATATATAAACTATAAATATATATAAAAAAACATATATATATTTAATAAAAATAATAATTTTTTATATTCTTTTTATTTATTTAATTAAAATAAACTTAATATACATTAAAAATTACTAACTTATTCAATATTATGAAATTTAAAATAAATTAAACTTTCATTTTTTAAATTTTTATAAGTTAGCAACAGAACCAAATTTTTATTTTTTTTATTATAGTTAAAAATTATTACCTTAAACCATAATAATATTATTATTTTATTTTTATTACTATTAAAATAAAGTAATTTAAGAAATTGTTTTTTTATTCTAATATTTATTTTATTTTTAAGTGCTATTTGTTTTTGTTAAATAAAGTTATTATTCCTGCTAAATTATTTTTTATTAATCTAACAATTATTAATATTATTATTATTATTAAACTTAATATTATTATTATTATTATTAATTTTATTTATTTTACTATATAATAGCATGGTTATTTTAATATTATCCTGTTTTGCTAAGTTTTTATAAATTATTTAATTTATCTATTATATCTTAAATTTTTAATCTTTCAAAATGTTCAAATTTAGTCATATTTTTAATTAAATCACAAAACTATTATTAATATTTGTTTTAAGAATCCCATTACAAATCCAAACAGCCTTTTTAAGATACATTATATAGTCCAAATTTATTTGTAATCTCTTAATTAATTTAAATTCTAAAAAATAATTCAAAAAACACTATTCCTAAAGACCAAATATCACTTTCTTTTTAAACAAAACCATCATTTATTTATTCTGGTGCTGAATAGCAAGGAGTATATCCTTTACTTGTTTACATTTAACTTTCATTATTAAGAATTACGGAAAGATTTAAATCTCCCAAAAAAACATTATTTCTATTATCTAGCAAAATATTTTAAGGTTTCAAATTTCCATGTACTATTGGATTTTTTTATTTATGCAAATAATCTATAGCTTACAAAATTCCATGTGCAATTTAGAATTATTAATTCAAATTAGGAGGCTCGTTCCGCAAATAACTTGCTAAATCCCATTTTTTTCTTTTTTAAATTATACTTAAAGAAGAAGAAAAGTCATCAAATTTTTTAATAGTATAACCTTCTATTTTTAATATTAAATGTGAGTTTATTAATTATAAATTATTCAAATTAGAAAGTATTTAATTAATATATATGTTTTTTTTTTTTTAAATTATTTCAAAACACAAAAATTTCTAACGTTTTTAATTTCACATTCATATACTAAACTTTAGTTACCTTATCCTATTTATTTTTAAACAACTATTTATTTTTCTTCTAATTTCTTTAAATTGGTATATTTTTAAAATTCCTTGAGAAACTATTCAAATGATAAATCTGTAATATCTTCTAGTTTGCTTGATTGTTAAATGAAAGTTATTGGATTTAAATTCGAATATAAAGCACTTGCTATATAATCGGATATACAAACAGGTATATTTAAATTACTCAAATGATAGATTGGTGTCTAATTAGAAGCATGAATAATATTATTATCTATTATTATTATTATTATTATTATTATTATTATTATTAATTACTTATAATTTATATTTATCATCTATTTAGTTTTATTCATTATAAATTATAGATTCATCTCTATATGCTGAAGGCA